CTGCATCAGAAATTTGTCCAAAAATGTAATATTTCAGGGATGATTTTCTTGTTGCATTTCATTCTTTCCAATCACATTACTTGCATCCACTTTTGAGTCATTAAATTAGTTAAGAGCCCACATCACACGCATACACATAAACACACATGAGTATGTCCAATAACGTCCGATACTTCATTTACTCTATTATTGTGCTTATGTCTAAGCAATCATTTTGTTGACTACTGATAAAATCTAAAAATGATATTTCGAGATTAAAGGGGTTTGGGAAGAGAAGGATCTAAACCATGAACCAATCTGTAGCAACAACAGTTCGTACAAAGTATTCATACAGCATGCAGTCCCTAAAACCTTAGTTACAAAATGTATGCATACAAACATTTATGTTTACATCAACATGCGTGTTGATGCCAGCAAAACCATATGATTATTGTGAAAAACTTTTCTCAATGCTCCCTACAACTTACCCCTGCATTAAAAAGAAGCTGGACAACACGAATTGGAGCAGCAATGATATCCTTTGATTTGTATGCATTGTCCATAGGAAGGTTTTGTTCCAAAACCTAAAACATTGTATATTTTGTCAGAAACAAGCAAGTGATCTGAAGAAATGTGCTAGAACTTTGGCTATGAATGACATTACCTACCTGCAAGTTATCACCAAACAATTTAAGTTGAGCTGTTGCTTTCTCATCCCGAACTCCAATAAATGCTTCAAATGTAGCCTAAGAAAATAAATGCATCTAATGAGCTATACATACGATCCAAGGAAACTCATACATCGCAACACAATTACACCAGGTAACAAATTGATTTCAACCTTTATACACAGACATGGACATAAGCACGGATGAGTGCAAGCGTATATGGAAGCACTCAATCTCTAAATGAGTCATTACTAGCCACAATAAGTATCTAAATAAAGGACAGAAAAGGGAATGATAATTTGAATTGCAATCAGGGGAAACTAAAGACCTCTTAATGCATAGTGGGTTCCAACTTCCCAGTGGTTGTAGACTATGCAGCATGATTGATGGCATTTCTCATTTCTTTTCTTTGATAGTAATTATTCAAGAACAGTTTGGAAGACTATGCTGATTAATGCAGTACTCAAAAGGTATTGTTAGTTGGAATGAAGGAAGAAATTCATCACTAGCAAGATATACAAAGGAGGATCCTGGGAGCTCCATATTTAAAGCTATTTTGCTGCCTTCCTGATTTGGCTTGGGGCTGAAAGGATTAGCAGATTCTTGAAAAATAACAGTTACCCTAGACAAGCTGTAGTTACTGCAATGCTCAGGATGTAGTGCTGAAGTGGATAGTGCCTAGAAAGTGGACAGCCCAAGAAATGTTACTTTTTTTGAGAAATGGTCCATTCGAGTTTGTAATTGCTTTTCTTTTTTGAAACACTGTGTTTGGAATTATTGTTCGATTCCATTTTTCTCTTTTTTTTCATAGGAATCTAGCAAAAATTTTCTCTGCAATATGTTATACATTTATTAATAAAAATAAACTAGTTCTATGAAGTAGTAATTCAACAGTAGCTCAAAGAAACTACCCATTAGACACATTCAAGTAGAATTGGTTACTTTAAAGTTTGAACACTCTAACCCACACAGGTTTAGTAATAAAGGGGTTCAATTTGGCATGTGCATCTTCAGTTCTAGTTCCATCTGGAGGCACCCTGGATTTAAGGAGTAGCTGCCTTGGCCTGGTGGTCCATGCTACCAGCGGTTTATCCACAAGGACCTTACAGCTAAGGAAAAAAAAAAAACTGAAACTCCATTTTTTATGCTTTTACATTTTTCTTTGGTTTGCTATTGGGTCCCCACTACAATAGACAGCGCTTGACCTTTGATAAAAACTTTTTAAGCATTCAAATATGCTAGTAAAAATACAAACATGAGGATCGTAATATACATAAAAAACATCATGAATTCAGTCCACAAAAGGAAAAAAAGACATCATGAATCATGCTTTATTGATCAAACCAAGCCATTTTAAAACTGGTTCACTGTCAACAAGATGTTGTTTTTCTAAACAACTTCTAAGGAATTGAAACCCATAATTTTTTATGCAAATGCAGGACCACTCACAAGAGTGTCGTGCTACTCAATAATTTATTTGTACCTATTTCACTAAATCTAATGATCTTTACTTAGGAGAAGAGATTGCACCATGCTTTGAAAACAAAATTGTCTACAAGTCAGATTTACACCGCTTTCTTGTTTCTATTTCTTGGTTCTTTAAACCAACAGCAATCCTGTTTTCCATTTCACACTCTTCGGATTAGCTTGGTAGGAAAGATAGAAAAAGATAAGAATGGAAAAATTGGTAATCTAATGGTTAACTTTCATAACCACTTTCATGCTTTGTAACTTAACTATTGGATTAACAAATTTTCAATCCTTGCCCCTTTCTATCCTTTTTACCAAGCAAAGCCTTCAAAATGATAAAATGGACTTCGTCAGCATCCTTTCATTGTAAAGACATTTGCTGTCATTCAAGGTTTTAATGACTTTATGACCTAAGGTAAAGATTTACATGTGGAATCTATTACAAGTTGAAATCATGCTAAAGGAAAAGTAACTTGTGCTGGCAAGTGAGAGAAGATAATTATTAAAAAAAAAAGGCTAGATAAACTGACTTGCAGAAATCTCAGTCGGATCCCACAATTTTAGATTTTTTTTTCTTTTAAGAAAACGATAGAAAGAAAGAAAAAAAGAAGCGCAATGTTTTCAAAACACAATATAGAAAGTATGTTCTTCAGTAAGGCATTAAAATGGTGTACACATGAGTAATGATTCATTAAGGAGAGAAACTACTATATCAAAATTCTAAAGACATGAATACTTAATTAGACCTCACATTATTTTTACCTTGGTATAAGTGCTTCATAGTATTGCATCAATCAACTGTATTATTTAACAGGAAACCTACGGAGAACATGGGTTCCTTCTGATCCGAACTTATGCAGTAGAATAACAAGCTGACTAATTTGTGACCATGGAAGCTATTACTAAAATTTTCCATTTTTTGGTAAAATTTATTAGCTTTTACACAAATTTGAACCTTTCAATCATGACTCATTTACTAAAGTTACACCATCTGTTATCCAATGTCTAAAGAAATAAACACTTCAAATTTAAGAAAAGCTTGTTTTGATGCTTCTATTACAAAAGAAAGAGATACACTGTAAATAAATCATCACCCTGCATTCTTACTTGGTTCAAATTCATTATCTTCACAATCTATGCTGAATAAAAATGATTGAAGTAGAGGAAATAAATGTGTTTAATATGAATATCATTACCTTGTACCCAAACAATGCATCTTCGTATGTTTCATACGGACCAATGGTGACATCCAGCTTAGAATCCTAAACCAAGAAAACGAAACAGGGAGAGGAAGCAGAGCCAGTAAGTTCGTTAGAATATGAATTGAAAAGAATGTCAAATACATATGTCACTGATACTTTCAAAAGAAAAAGTAAATAAAAAAAAGCTGAATTTAGAGCAGAGAAAAATACATCTGTCACTGATACTTTCAAAATAAGTTCGTTAGAATATGAATTGAAAAGAATGTCAAATACATCAGTCACTGATACTTTCAAAATAAAAAATAAAAAATAAAAAGCTAAATTTAGAGCAGAGAAGAAAGTTGTAGCAGCACCAGACAATTGGTGGCTACTGGCTACATTGAAACTAAGAAAAAAATTCCCCTTGTTTAGGGAATGATTCAAATATTCAAAATCAGCCTAACTTGAGGGTGTTGTCATCATTCTATATATAAACACTGATATCTAATGAGGGTAAATTTCTTCCCACTCTTATGTCCTGCAAAATTCAACCCCCTTCAAGATAAGTACTTCTAGAGCACATTGCTTCCAGGGGCAGTCATACATATTGGATCTAATTTTGTGGGTATCTTTTTAAAATTATACCACCATAAATGTGTTCTTAGCATTTATTAATGTCAAAGATGAGAAAGTAACATAACATAAAGGGAAAGAAAAGAAATAAATTTACAAACTACTAACTAATTCCATCCAAGCTATATCTGAGTCATAATAGTCATTTGAAAGGAAGGCATCGGCCTTGCAATGGAGCAACCTCTTCAAACTATAAAGTCAAGAACAAGTGAAGAGATATTAGTGGATGGCATAAGCTTTCAGCTTATGACTAATAATTAAGACATCAGAAGAAAAAACTCAGTCAAAATCATACCTAGGTGAACTGACCAGGTCTCCAGCTTTATGTAACAGTTCAGAAGCACTTGTCAGGAAAGAATGATACTCATGGGAGAAGGGAATACTATAAAGATCACAAGCAGGCCCTGCTGAACGATTTATGCCATCAAATATAAGATTGTAAAGAGAAGAGTCCCAATTTACTTGACTATGCCTTTTAATAACAGTGAAAAAGCTCATTGCATCTTGTTGCTGGTCTGCCTTTAGACTTCTTTTCCATAATTTAAATTCCTACAACACAAATAAAACTTGTCAGTCTGTGTTCATATGTAAAAGTGATACTAAAAGATGGTTAAATAGGCAAATTTCTTGCATAGTCACGTATATAATCATAAGTCATTCTTCTTCGCAGCATATGATGAGTTATTTATAGTACCATTTTGTCCATATCTGGAGGGTAGAAGTTTGCACCAGGAGGTTTTAGCATTGGAAATGCAGCTCTGTACTCTAGACCCTTCCACCCCGTAATTGGCTTTGTGGCTTCAGGAAGCAGTTTTATTGCTGAATCTGCAGTTGTTAAAAATGCCTCATTTTCATCAAGGCAGGACCTGTTGATAAAGAATGAATTATCATTGATAAACAGATATTGCCTCCAAAAACTAGGCATCGTACAGAAAGACTTACCATGGACTCTTATTAATTAAATAATACATCCATTTCAAGCTGTCCAATTGTGAGACATCAGCATGCTCCTTTAACCATTCTCTTAGAGCTGGATTGCTGTACCAAACCTGATTATTTGAGGAAAAGTACAAAGGCTAATATGAGCATGTGGTGCCATGCCATCACAATTAAGCATTTACTTATGATTGCAAAATTTTGCATCATATCATCTAATACTTTTCATTCCAAGTAAACTGACAATTAAAGAGCTTCAGAACGACAGAATGATGAAACAGTCACAACACCAGGATTTCTGTGCAATATTCCAGAATGATGCATCTAAAACTTTTCATTCCAAGTAAACTGACAATTCAAGAGCTTCTGAACAACAGAATGATGAAACATTCACAAACAAGAATTTCTCCACAAATTCCAGAATGGGATACAATTATTTCATTCAGGAACAAGTTGCATCAATAAATTGAGTTAGTTTGTAACCAACTAAAAACCCTTTAGAAAATGAATACTTCCACTTCCAATTTCATTGTAAATATGTGTATCTGTGGGAAAACATTTAGTTACAAGTGGTTGTATTTTGTAATCTGTAATTTGCTGATTGTAATCTGTATATATCTGTATCCCTAAAATTGAGAATTTGTATCTCTAGAATTAAGGACAGAATATCAGGATAGACAATTCCTTGATTATAGGGATTAGATTTAGGAATATTTAGTTTCCTAGTTTACTCTCTAGCTAGTTGTATTTAAATCTATGGTGTTTGTATGATTCAATACACAAGTTTTTCAATATACTCTCATTTTTCCACATGGTATCAGAGCTTTAGACTCTTCTTGGGAAGAAAATTTCTCAGCCTTCATTGCTGAATTTTTTTTTTTTGGGCCTTCATAGCCAAATTTTGTTAAGTCTATCATACTTTTATTTTGTTCCTTTTTGGCCTTCATTGCCTATACTTGTTTCAGTCCTGAGAAAGGTAATCATGTCAGAAATAGCAGAATCTGCCGCTACTACTCGATTTGGAGAAGTAACAACTGGTCAAACCACAGCGGAATTACAGAATATCCAAGCTGCATACAGGTTGAATGGAAAGAATTACTTGAAGTGGTCTCAGTTGGTTCAAACCTTTCTAAAAGGGAAAGGAAAATTGAGCCATCTTCTTGGCACTGGTCCTGAGAAAGGAGATCCAAAATTTGAGGCTTGGGATGAAGAGGATTCTATGGTTATGTCATGGCTGTGGAATTCTATGACGCCAGATATTAGTGACACTTGTATGTTTTTGTCCACGGCCAAAGACATTTGGGAATCAATTCGTCAAACCTATTCCAAAGTTAAAGATGCCGCTCAAGTCTATGAAGTCAAGATCAAGACTGTAGCTCTCAAACAAGGGAATAAGTCAGTCACAGAGTATGCTATTCTTCTTAAAAATCTTTGGCAAGAGATGGATCACTACCGGTGCATAGAAATAAAGTGCAGTGAAGATGCAACAACTTTGAAGAAATTTATTGAAAAAGATCGAGTCTATGATTTTCTTGCTGGACTGAATGTTGAGTTTGATCAAGTCAGAGTTCAAATTCTGGGAAAACAGGATCTGCCTTCTTTAAATGAAGTGATATCCATGGTTAGAGCAGAAGAGAGCAGATGAGGAGTGATGCTTGACAGTGTGCATGTAGAAGGATCTGCTATGGTCTCTAATGGTGGGAAGAACCAAAGCTTAGAACAATTACCGGTCAGTGAGAATGGGAAAGGTGATTCGGCTAAAACTTCAAATCGCGACAATCTTTGGTGCACCTATTGCAAGAAGCCAAGGCACACCAGAGATCGTTGCTGGAAACTACATGGAAAACCTTCAACTTCAAGCAAAGAATGGGGTTATAAAGGAGGACAGCCAAGAAATCAAGGACAAGCTCACATGACTGCAATGGAGTCAAACCAGGAGAAGTCTCAGGAACAAAGAGAGTTGGATAAAAAAGAGATTGAGAAACTGAGAAGCCTATTGGGAACTCTTGAAAAGGCTACTGGTGTATGCTCCTTGGCACACTCAGGTAAGGACTCTGGTGCAGGTAAAGTCTCTAATTCTCATGGATTAAATGTCTCAGGGATTAAATGTCTCAGATAAGTCCATTAAGAGTTCTTGGGTCATTGACTCAGGAGCCACAGACCACATGACACATTGTTCACAAAAGTTTAGTACATTTACCCTATGTCCTGGTACTAAGAAAATTACTGTTGCAGATGGTTCACTTACTACAGTGGCAGGATTAGGAGATGTTCAAATTAATCCCTCATTCATTCTTAAAAATGTTCTTCATGTTCCTAGATTGTCTACTAATCTGATATCTATACAAAGACTTACTAGAGACATGAACTGCAATGTGACTTTTTATCCCTCTTACTGTGAATTTCAGGACCAGGGTTCGGGGAAGAGGATTGGACTTGCTAAGGAGAAGGATGGACTATACTATCTTGAGACATCCAACAACATAAGTAATATCAAGAATAGTTTACCTTTGTCATTTCTTTCTGAACAATCTTCCAATAAAGACAAAATCTGGCTTTATCATTTTCGTTTTGGACACCCTTTTTTTGGAACTTTGAAAAACATGTTTCCTTCCTTGTTCAAAGGATTAAACGTTGAAGAGTTTCATTGTGATGTTTGTGCACTTGCAAAACACAGACGTGTATCTTTTTCAATTAGCAACAAAAGAAGTTCTACTCCCTTTTACTTGATTCATAGTGACATTTGGGGTCCCTCTACAGTTCCTAATATTTCTGGGGCAAGATGGTTTGTGTCATTCATAGATGATTGTACCAGGGTTTCTTGGGTTTTTTTACTTAAATCCAAATCAGATGTGAATAGTGTGTTTTTTAGCTTCCAAAACATGATCCAAAATCAATTTGGAGTGAAAATCAAGAGATTTAGGTCTGATAATGCAAGAGACTATTTCAACCAGAGTCTATCCACCTATTTCCAAAATGAGGGGATTATCCATGAGTCATCTTGTGTTAATACTCCACAGCAAAATGGAGTGGCAGAGAGAAAAAACAGCCACTTACTAGCCACAACCCGAGCCTTCCTTTTTCAAGCAAATGTGCCCAAATCTTACTGGGGGGAAGTTGTTCTCACTGCTACACACATTATAAATAGGTTACCTTCAAGGGTTTTGGGATTTAAAACTCCTATGGAACTACTCTCACAATTCTATCCCAACCTTAATACCACAAACAACCTCACACCTAGGATATTCGGTTGTACATCATTTGTTCATGTTCACAGTCATAATAGGGGAAAGTTGGATCCGAGAGCAATTAGGTGTATTTTTGTGGGGTATTCATCAACTCAGAAAGGGTATAAGTGCTATCATCCTCCTACCAAAAAGTTTTATGTGTCTGCAGATGTCACTTTTGAAGAAAGTAAACCATTTTTTACTCAACCTTATCTTCAGGGGGAGACATCATTTATAGAAGATAAGGATAAAGACTTCTTTTTGCTTGACTTGTCATCCTCCTCCAAAACAGTTTCACCCATTAATTCTTTTGAGCCTAAACCCATTTCTTCAGAGTCCAAGTCAAACACTGATTCTAAATTTGAACCCATTCCAAACACAGAAGTTGTGACTAAAGATAATACTATTCTTGATTCTGTGAAAGAATTACAGGTGTACTCAAGAAAGAAAGTTCCAGCTCCTGAACCGGTGCAAATCCAAGAACCTGATCCTAACTCTGGAAATGAGGTAATTACAGTCTCTGATTCTATTTCTCAAAATGAGCATGAGTCTCTTAAAATTAGTGATTATGATCTACCTATTGCCACTAGGAAAGGAACTAGAGAATGTACTAAACATCCATTATACCCAATCTCTAATTTTGTGTCATTTGAAAAGTTTTCACCATCTCATAAAAATTTTCTTGTGAGCCTAGACACTATTTCTATTCCAACTACATTATCTGAGGCATTATCCAATGAGAAATGGAGGCAGGCGATGAAAACAGAAATGGAGGCCTTAGAGAAAAATAAGACATGGGAACTGGTAGAGTTGCCTGCAGGAAAACATCCAGTTGGGTGTAAATGGGTTTTCACTGTAAAGTATAAGGCAGATGGTACTATCGAAAGATACAAGGCCAGGCTGGTGGCTAAGGGCTACACTCAAACTTATGGAGTGGATTATCAAGAAACTTTTGCTCCAGTTGCCAAGATGAATACAGTTAGAATTTTATTATCCTTGGTGGCAAATTACAATTGGCAGCTTCAACAATTTGATGTAAAGAATGCCTTTTTACATGGTGATTTGGAAGAAGAAATATATATGAAAGTTCCACCAGGATTTGGGGGTCATCTAGAAGTACAAAAAGTATGCAAGCTGAAAAAGGCTTTATATGGCCTTAAACAGTCTCCTAGGGCCTGGTTCGGGAGATTTGCCAAAGTGATGCTAGGAATGAAATATAAACAGAGTCAAGGGGATCACACACTGTTTATCAAGCACTCAGATTCGGGTAAGGTCACAATTCTATTAGTATATGTTGATGATATAATTGTAACTGGAGATGATGAAAAAGAAAGAGAGTCTCTAAAACAGTGTTTGGCCAGAGAATTCGAGATAAAAGAGCTAGGGAGATTGAAGTACTTCCTAGGAATTGAAGTAGCCCACTCACGTCATGGTATTTTTATCTCACAACAGAAATATGTGATGGATCTGTTGAAGGAAACTGGGAAGCTCGCATGTAAACCTGCAAGTACCCCTATAGATCCTAATCATAAGCTTGGAGAAGCTAATGAAGATACTGCTGTAGATAGGGAGATGTACCAGAGATTAGTTGGAAGACTTATTTATCTCTCACATACTAGACCTGACATAGCATATGCTGTGAGTGTGATAAGTCAATTTATGCATAGCCCTAAAGAAGTACACCTATAGGCTGTCTACCGTGTACTACACTATTTGAAGGCTAATCCTGGGAGAGGTATCTTGTTTAAAAGAAATTCAGGGTTGATACTAGAGGCATATACAGATGCTGATTATGCAGGTTCAGTAACTGACAGAAGATCTACCTCAGGCTACTGCACTTTTCTAGGTGGTAATCTTGTAACTTGGAGGAGTAAAAAACAGAATGTGGTGGCAAGATCAAGTGCTGAAGCAGAGTTTAGGGCAATGGCTCAAGGAATTTGTGAATTACTATGGTTAAAGATTATTCTAGAAGACTTAAAGATCAAATGGGATGGACCAATGAGACTTTACTGTGATAATAAATCTGCAATAAGCATTGCACACAATCCTGTGCAACATGACAGAACAAAACACATTGAAGTAGACCGGCACTTCATAAAGGAAAAGCTAGACAGTGGATTGATTTGCACCCCATATGTATCAACCAAGGGTCAACTTGCAGATGTGTTGACTAAAGGCCTTAACAGTGCGACATTTCAGGAAATTATTTCCAAGCTGGGAATGGAAAACACCTATTCACCAGCTTGAGGGGGAGTGTGGGAAAACATTTAGTTACAAGTGGTTGTATTTTGTAATCTGTAATTTGCTGATTGTAATCTGTATATATCTGTATCCCTAAAATTGAGAATTTGTATCTCTAGAATTAAGGACAGAATATCAGGATAGACAATTTCTTGATTATAGGGATTAGATTTAGGAATATTTAGTTTCCTAGTTTACTCTCTAGCTAGTTGTATTTAAATCTATGGTGTTTGTATGATTCAATACACAAGTTTTTCAATATACTCTCATTTTTCCACAGTATCAAAAAATTTTCTGCAAGCAACTAGATGATGCAATTTTAACTAATACCAATTCAAGGCTGTCCAATTAGTGAAAGAATGAAAGTTTCTATATTTCCACTCTGGAATGATAATTTGTTAACCTTGGCAGTTACTTTCTGGGGTATAATAGACTTATGCCTTCATGTTCCTTATATTATGCCCTATAATATCACCTGACACATTGAATTGCTCCTGTAATAGTATATGAACTAACACATTGAATTGCTAATGTAATATCACCTCACACTTTGAATTGAATCCATTTTATCCTAGAAGAAGCAAAAAGGGAATGAGGTACCTCAAAGACTAAAGCAGAAGCATTAAGGGCGAAGTCAATCAAAACCACTAATATTGTAATACTGAACTAGCACAGCATTGTTATGAACCTCTCTCCCCATTTTGTAACTAACCGGTCAAAAATCAAGTCATGTATATGGCTTTCAATAGACATTTTTTAATCAATTAAAAGTTCTATTGACTTTTAGAGTGTTCTTATGAATATTTTGCAGTAGACTGTCTGTTCTGTAGCAGTATTTTACACAATTTTGCCTCTGGTTCACACCCAAAGAAACCAACAATGATATGCTTGCTGCCAACATATATGGATATGCTAGCTGATCAGAGTGCATGTTTGTGTGCATCTGTGTACTTGTGTGACTTTTGTCTACTTATATGCATAAATACAACCTGCAGATAAAAGATTTCATCCATAATCATTGCAGCCATAGTGATTAATAGCAAAGCCTCCTTGTCAGCATTAGTAAGCCCAGTCAACTGCAATGAGGGAATAGATTTAGTAAATAATCAAATAGATACTTCGAAAAGGTCTGACTGTAATATTGAGGAGAGGGACAAAAGAAAACACAATATTTGAATGAAATAATAAGGAAGGCTAGCATGCATGTCTTTAATTTCCTGCTTTATAAGTATAAGTTTTAACAAGTATTCAGGTTAGCTTTTCATCAATTTTCTTCTAAAACAGAAGAAAGCAATTGATCTTTTATAAACTTATAGCTTGTGACCATTGGAATGTGTGATGCAAGAAGAACAAATAACCGTAAGAAAACTCCTACCATGTATCACCTCTAAGTCTATGCTTTATAAATATTCAGAGGATCCTGACTAACCAAAAACGAAATGAAGACCCCCCCCCCCCCGGGGGCACCCCCAAAAAGTATATAAATAAAAGAAATGATAAGATCATGCAAAGTAAGTGTGTTTCTGAGGACATCCACCTGTGAGCTAACAAAGTGATGAAGGTAAAACCAAAAGTGTCCACATTATGTAGCACAGACACATACAAGTTATATCACACCATTTCTAAATGTAAATTGACTACATCAAAGCCTGAGGGTAAAATATTGAAGATGGATCAGAAGTCAAAACAAGCAAGACAGCAGAGAAACTAATATTAAAATTGCATAAAGATGAAGACCTCTGCAGTTAGAGAAACAGGAGCATATCGATCAAGTTGCTTTTGTAGTGCTAAACTGCGTGCTTCAGTGTTCTCTTTGTACCTTTGGCAAAGTATTTTGAAATGTTAGCAACATTAAATGCCAACATGAATAGATAACATTTAGATAAATTTGATAACTATTTTGTTGGATTCTATGGCCATAGTTACTCAGCCTACCTTCTTGTAATTATATCAAAGAGCAGACCATACTGTTTATTTATATCATAA